GCAGTTAATAGTCAGTGAATCCAGATAGTAAGACCATCATCTCAGTTGTGCTGAGTCTCAAGGATGCTTATAGCAGTATCAACCCCCACTCTGGACCTCACTGCTCCAGCGAGGGCTGTGTACCTTAGGGTGGCTACCCCTTGGCTGGCTGAGAAACTCCACTGCTCCTGTAGGTGTTTTTTTCTCTCCAGAAGGAATTGCTGCCACTTCCACCTTAGTCACGACTGTCCCTTGTTGTGGGGGTTCTTTTTATCCAGTTTTCAGTTTTCTATCCAGAGTAATTTTTCCAAAAATAGTTGTAACCTGGTTGTGTTCATGGGAAGAGATGAGTTCAGAGTCTGCTTATGCTGCCATCTTGATGAGATCTCCATATTTTCCTTGTATACTCATTTTATTCAGAATTTTCACCACAAATGTATGCTGTATCTTGTGAAATGCTTTCTCTGCATCTATTGAGATGATCATGTGATTTTTATTATTCATTTTGTTAATGTGGTGTATCATATTGGTTGATTTGTGACTGTTGAACCATCCTTGCATCCCTGGAATAAATTCCACTTTACCATGGTGAATGATCTTTTTAATGTGTTGCTGTATTAGATTTGCTAGTATTTTGTTGAGGATTTTTGCATCAATGTTCAACAATAATACTGGCCATTAATTTTCTTTTTTTGTGTTGTCCTTGTCTGGTTTTGGTATCAGGATAATCTTTGGCTTCATAGAATGAGTGAGGAAGCTTCCTCTCCTCTTCATTTTTTTGGAAGTTTGAGAAGGATAGGTATTAAGTCTTCTTTGAATGTTTAGGAGAATTCACCAGGGAAGGTGTCTGGTCCTCAAGTTTTATTTTGTGGGAGGTTTTTGATTGCTGTTTCAATGTCCTGACTGGTGATTGGTCTACTCAAATTCTCTACTTCTTCTTGACTCAGTTTTGGAAGGTTGTATGATTCTAAAAATTTATCTATTTCTTCTAGATTATACAATTTGTTGGTGTATAGTTTTTCATAGTATGCCCTTATAACTTTTGTATTTCTGAGGTGTCTGCTATAATTTCTCCTCTTTCATTTCTCATTGTATTTATTTGAGTCTTCTCTCTTTTTTTCTTGGTGAATCTAGCAAAAAGTTTTTCAATTTTCTTTATCTTTTCAAAGAACAAGCTCTTGATTTCATTGATTTTTTCTTTTGTTTTTTTAGTCTCTTTTCTGTTTTTTCTGCTCTTATTTTTATTATTTCCTTCCTTCTGCTGATTTTGGGGTTTGTTTGTTCTTCTTCTTCTGGGTCCTTTAGGTTCCACTGTTAGATTGTTTATTTGGGATTTTCCTTATTTGCTGAGGTAGGGCTGAATTGCTATACACTTCCCTCTTAGAACCACTTTTGATGAATCCCTTAGATTTTGCTATGCTGTATTTTCTCTTTGATTTGTCTCCAGGTATTTTTCAGAGATCTGCTGATGATGAATTCTTTCAGTTTTTCTCTGATAATTTAATTACTTCTCTCTTAGTTTTGAGTGGTAATTTCTCTGAATCTATAATTCTACACTTTTTTTCTTTTCACACTTTATTTTCATTCCATTTCCTACTTCCTTTGATTCTGATGATAAGTCCTCTATGTTTATTCTACTTGTTCTTCTATAGGTAAGATGTTTTTCTGTATCTCCTTTAAAGATTTTCTCTTTCTGTTGGCTTTTTTGCATTTGGAATACATGCCTAGGGGTAGGTTGTTTTTTTTTTAATCTTGCTTGATTTTTCTGAGTATAATAGATCTGTAGTTCTGTGTCTGTGATTAAATTTGGAAAGTTCTTAGCCATTATTACTTCAAATATTTCTTCTACTCCATTATTTCTTCTCATAGTATTCCAATTTTTTATATGTTACAACTTTTTATACTTTCCCTCACTCACTGGATGCTCTGCTCTGTTTATTCATTCTTTTTTCTTTTTGCATTTCACTTTGGGAAGTTTCTATAAACCCATCTCCAAGTCACTGATTCTTTCAATGACTATGTTCAGTCTACTGATGAGCCCATTAACAGCATTCTCAACTTTTGTTACAATGTTTTTTATTTCTAACATTTCCTTTTGATTCTATCTTAGAGTTTCTATCTCTCTGCTTTCATTGCCCATCTATTTTTGCATGTTATCTACTTTTTATATTGGCACCAATAATATATTATTCATATTTATTTTAAGTTGCCTGTGATAATTACAACATCTGTATTACTTCTGAATCTGGTTCTGAGGCTTTTCTGTCGATTCATTCAATTTGTACTGTGTTTTTCATGTCTTTATTATCTTTTGTAAATTTTTGTTGAAAGCCTGAAATATATTGGTAATATGAACTAAGGTAAACAAACCTTTATTATCAGCTTTTATATTGCTCTCGCTAGGATTTGTGTTGCACTTTATGTTTGCTCTTTCTATAAGCGCCAGAAGCTTCAAATATCTCTCACATCCTTTTTTGTTTACCATCTTGACTTTGGGTTTTCTTAAGTATTCCAGTCAGAAAGAATGTGTTTCTTGCAGCAATTTCAGGTGTAATCCTCTTTTATTATACTGGAGTATGATTGTATCTTGGTATGATTGTAAAGTATGGAGTTGGGGAGATTTCTATAATCTTATGATTAAATTTCCATCTTTTAGTGGGCCTATATCTCATGGTTGTTATGTTCAAAAGTGTTTCTCCATTTGCACAACTTTTTTCCTCAGCTCCCTACTTCATCCCCTGGCTCCAGCACTTACAATCTATTTCCTTGAATCCTTGAACTCTGTTGACTATGTTTTTACTCTTAGGTGAGACAGGCAGGCTAGAGGGAGCTGGGATCAAAAAAATTCCCTTTATCCAAATGGGGTAAGGCTCTGATAAAGTCTTTAACACTAGAAAATAGTATTTTGTTATGGAGAAGGCTCTTGATATATTTCACAATTATTACTCTTCCCTCCAGAGCCACAAGTGGATCTTCCTTCGATACCCACCATGAGAACTTGGTGGGGTTCCTTTAGGTAAAGCCCATGAAAGTATGGGGGGGCTCCCCTAAGACTGAAGCCCTCAGGAATTTTTTAATTTCATGATAGTTAACACTCAACTTTTAGCAATTCATCAAAATGATCATTTTTATATTCCAACTAACATGGTTTTGATGACTTATCTTGCAAATAAGACAAGTTTGACTGTGACTCTCTGGATACACCTGTCTCTCTAGATTTTGGGGTGTTTGCTCTGCAACTTCAGTTCTATGATTAGTTCAAGGAAATCCATAGATTTTCAGTTTGTGTAACTTTTTATTATAGTAAATTTTGGAATGTTGGTTTTTTAAACTCTACATGTGGAGGTTGATACTGGAAGTCTAAATGGACTTTAAAACAAAAGTCCTAAGCAGAGATACAGCAGAAAAATAATGAGGCAATAGAAAAATATGAAAAATAATTTGGAAAATAAGTTTAAAAATGATACAGAACAGTGAAACCATCATAGAAGTAAATGCCACATTGAAGCAGAAAAAAAGGAAACAAGTTACTGGAAAGACAGCCAATGATATAGAGGAGATATTGAGTAAAGTAAGGTCTTAAAGGCTTTCCAATATAAAAAAAAAAAAATTTGTGTTCCTGAAGAAGAGAATCAAAGAAGTGGAAGAGAAGAGAACTGCAAAGATTTAATTCAGGAAATCATTCAGAATAAAAGAAGATTTAGCCTTTAGATTCAAAGTTTCCTTTCACTCTGTCACAGGATAAATTGGTACAACAAAGCAATACCAAAGGATAGCTTAACTAAATTACTAGACTTCAGAGATAAAGAAAAGTGTGCAGTGTAGCAAAAGATCAAGCTTAGGCTTACAAGGGAAAATACCAGTCCAACCTCGGAATTCCTCACTGAAACAGTCACTGTTAGAAGACAGTAGAGCAATGCTTACAAGGGAAAGTGACCTAAGCATTGTATACCCACAGTGTCATTTAAGTATAAAGGAACAGATAAAAAATTTCAATTATGTAAGAACTCAGCACATACAGTTCCAATGAGCCCTTATTGCACAATGGAGAAACTGCTACACAAGACCTGTCATTGAATAGTCTTAAGATAGCACAAGAGTATGAGTATTGCTACAGAACAGAATGTAAATGTTTTTAACTATAACTACTTTGAAATAATATAAATAAAAAAAGACAGACAATAAAGGAAATGAAGAGCTAGAAGGTAGTGTAATTAAATTAATTTTCTAAATTAATTAGCCATGCATCAAAAGATACTTTTAAAGTTGTCAAGTCCAGTAACTGAACAATACATATATGTAAATCTGTAATAATGAACACCAATCATTCTAAAATTAGCAGCATAATTAACTAAAAATGCATAGTGGAGGGGAGACAGATCTAATGAGACATGAAGTAATTTTATAATTTCTCATAGTGGGATGTCAATGGATAAAAACTCCCACTACCTTCCCCTTGGTAGACCACAGCTCCACTACAAGTTTCTTAGCAAGACATTGGCCTAATCAGTGTTTGGTTTGTGATTTCCAAACTATTATTTGATTCCTTGAAATTACTATTGGTGACTTTTAGTTGGATGAGTGTTTTGGTCCTTCATAGAGTTTTAATTTTTTGCAGCATGGAGTAGAGCACAGCCAACACCACTGTGAGGTGGCCTGGAGATCATTACTTTGTCTGCCTTATTTTAAAGTGTCACTACCACTCCACACTAAAAACACCGTGTTCCTATCTGGGTTCCAGGTCCCCCTTCTCTTCCTCCTACTCCATACAAACAAGCCCTTTTTACTTCTTGCACATGGGTTAAAGTTTTATGAAGAGACATTTGTCTTCAGTACTCTGTCCTCACCTAGTTTTTATGTCAAATGTACTTCCTCTGGACCGACCAATCTAGCCCCCAATCCTGTAGGGCTTCACTTCCCTGCCATTTCACACCCCTGCCTCTTCCTTTCTTTCCTCCCTTTCCATCATCAGACAACTCAAAGATACAAACATATCTACTAGAAGGAGGGTCTTCTCTCACCTTATTGATTTTATTTTAATCATCACCATCTGTGTTCTGTGTTGGTGTCATATCTTGGACTGGTGTAGTTCTGCAGCATCCCTTGGGCCTGGCCTAGCTGCATTTAGCTTAGGTATTCAGTCTGTGGTAATGGCCAAAACATGTTGCCCTTTTTCCTCCATTCTGCTTTCTTGAAGTAGTTGCAGTTCTTCTGTGAGGCGATACATTACTTGAACTCAGGTGAAGCAGTCTTTTTGCTCTCCTCCTTGTGTTCTGCAATTGGAAGGACAAGAAAGTGAGCTCAGAAGGGTACTGGGTAAAGAAAGAGAATGACGGATAAATGAGAAGGGGACTTCATGAGAATGAGTGCAGGCTGAAGAGAAGTTTTTGCCAGGCAAGGACAGTGAGGAGTCTTGGAGGGGAGGTAGTCAATGAAGAAGAGGGGAAGCTTGAGTAGGATCATCTGACTTTCCCACCACCTCTGGACCTAAGTTTAAAGAAGGTCTTCCTCTTATTCCTCCCTTTGGTGCTGTGGTTCATTGTCTCCTATGTACACTAGGCTCCTGTATTTTCTGGTCACCTTAGCCATGTTAATTCCTCCAAGTTTCTCCCTCAATGGTCCTGCCTTCCCTGTAGACACTGAGGACCATGCCCTTTCAGCATTATTTGGTCAACAAGACACTCGCCCCAGCCAATGGTACTTTTAGGAGGCTTATACTTCACAAATCACCATTTAGACACCTCTCTGGAAGGTGGGGACTTTGGGGGAACAATGTGCTGTTGTTTGAATTAGGGAATATTTCCTTAGCACCCCTAAAGAGCCTCCCCAATTGACCTTCCACTCTTTCTCATCTTCCCATGTTCAATTCTGGTGGTACACGTGGCTAGGTAGACCTCATAGGTTATGTGGAAGGACAGTCATAATATCTAGAAGGAAACAGATTTAACTGGATTGATGGATCATCAGCCAGTTTTTGTGGAACTAGGTCACAGATTAGTGACCCTGGAATGTTCAAATAGGTTAAACAACCACTATGGTAGCTTCTCTGAAATCTGGTGAGTCATATCCAATTCCTTCCCTCAGCAAAAGTTCAGGGGTTGAGACATATGTCCAAATAAGTGAGACAAATGATATTAGTCATAGAAGAGGAACTAAACAGGAGCCTCTAGAGTCAAGAGGTGAGGGTTTTTCTGCAACAAAGCTTCCAGTAGATAATGCCACTCACTGTGCAGAGAGTAGTTTTATAAAAATATAAATTTTATTATCTCTTCTAGTAAAGTTTATAGACTCATTTCTGAGTATGTATCCCAGAGAAATCCTCATGTAGGATCTAAGAGCAAATGTATAAGACTGGTCTTCATAGCAATTCTGTGGAAATGGATAGTCGGAGACTAAGTGCTCATCTATAAGGATACAGATAAGTAACTGAGGGCATTTATCCACTCTGAAATACTAGATATTTCAAGGCAATGAACTAAACTACTGGACAGATACACAGCAGCAGGGACACACTTTATCACATTGATATACACACTAACTGAAAAATTTACAGTTGAAATGGTTCTCTCCAGCTAAATGGAGAGAACTTGATGTGGATTTGCTTTATAAATACTCTAACAAAAACACAGAAATAAGTAGGGCGCTGGATAAAATATGAATAGTAAAATGTTGTCAATTGTTGAAGCTTGGCAATGAATACACCACTAGCATATATTCTTTGAAGAAACATCTATTCAAGTCCTTTGCCCATTTTTATTGTAATAAAATACATTTAACATAAGACTCATCAGTTAAACCATTTTTAAAGATAAAAATTTGGTGACATTAAGTATATTCACAATGATGTACATTCATCATCACTATGTAGTTCTAGTATACTTTCATCACACAAACAAAAACTGATACCGAGGAAGTAGTATGAATGCAAGCCAGAAAAAGAGTGGGGAAATATCTTTAAAGTATTAAAAGGGAAAAAAAATGTCAACAAAGAATTCTATACCCAGTGACAATACATTTCTAAAACAAAGACAAAATAAAAACTGAAACTTTAAAAAGTAAAAGAATACATCACCAACAGACATGCTAAAGGAATTCCTTCAAGTAGAATGAAATAGATTCCCCATGTTATTATGGATCTACACAATGGAGTGGAGAACAACAGAAAACTATAAATATTTGGATAAATATAAAAGATAGCTTTTCCCTTAATTTAAAAATCTCTTTAAAATGTAATATTTTAAAGCAAAAATCATTACAATGTATCATAGTATTTAAAACATATATAAAAGTAAAATTAATGAAAACAATAGTAAAAAGGTCAGTAAGGGGTAAATGGATATATACTGTTACAAAGATACTATTCATAAAGTGTTATACTATCACATGAAGGTGTACTCTGAGAAGTTCTAGCTGTGTGCTATCAAACCCAAAGCAACCACCAAAATATCAAAATAAACAATTATAGCCAATATGACAAAAAAGATAAAGTAGAATAATGAAAACTCATTAATTCCAAAGGACTTAGAAAAAGAGAATAAAGTAAACAAAATACAGATGGAACAAATACAAAATAAATATCAAATGTTAGCTTTAAACCTAATCTTATCAATGATCACATTAATTGTAAATGGTCTAAATACCTCAATTAAAGGAAGAGATTACAATATTGAATTAAAAACAAACAAGACCAAATTATATGATGCCTGTAAGAAACACACTTCAAATATAAAAACAATGATAGTTTAAAAGTAGTATAATTGAAAAATACTACAACAACATCAAAAGAATCTGCAATGGGTCTATTACCACAATACAAAGTAGATTTCAGAACAAAGATTACTTTGTATATATTACAACATACAAATATATATTATATTATATATTAGAAATATTATAAAATATTATTAGGAATAAAGAAAGTCATTTTATAATAATAAAGGAGTCAATTCATCAAGAGGACATAACAATCATAATAGCTTATGCAACTAATAAACAGAGTTTCAAAATACATGAAACAAAAATTGATAGTACTACAAGGAGAACTAGACAAATATACAGCTACGATTTGAGATTTAAATACCATTTTTTCTATAACTGATTGAACAATTAGACAGAAAATCAATAAAGATAAAGAAGACTTGAAATAACATATGAGTCAAATTGACCTAATTGACATTTATAGAATTCCCTACCCAGCAATAGCAGAATAAGTATTATTTGCAAGTACATACAGAACATTTATCAAGATAGATCACATTCTGGACCAAGGAAACACATCCAAAATATTTTAAAAGATTCAAATCAAATAAAGTATCTTGTATATCCACAGTGGTATTAAATTAGAAATAAATGACAAAGATGTGTTGTTTTAGCATTTATATTTTCCATTAAGTTCAAAGTATTAAACCTGCCCCTATTTAGATGATATGACTGTTGATGTAGAAAATCACAATCTAAAAATGCTCCTAGAAGTAATAAGTGAGTTTAGCTAGGTTGCAAGAAACCAAGCCAACATACAAAAATCAATTTTATTTCTACATACTAGCAATGAACAGTTGGAAACCAAAATTTTTAGTACTATCTACAATAGCCTCAAAAACATGAAATATTAGGAATAAATCTAAGTAAAATATGCAGGAACAGTATGCAGTAAACTAAAGAATACTGATGAAAGAAATCAATGAAAACCTAAATAAATGGAGAGACATACTATGTTCTTATGATATGAAGACCCATGTATGAAGATTCAATATATTTAAAATGTACATTCTCTCTAAACTGATAGATTGAAATTAATCCTAGCAGGATTATTTGTAGCTGTGAACAAGCTTATTCTAAAATTTACATGAAATAGCAAAGAAAGTAGATTAACCAAAAAAAATATTTTCTTATTATAAATCTAGAGGACTTACACTACTCCATTTTAAGACTTAAAATAAAGCTGCAGTATTCAAAACAGTTTGGTATTGGCAAGAGGGTTGAAATAAAGATCAGTGAAACAGATGAGACAGTCCAGAATTAGAGAAAACACACATTGTTTAATGGATTTTTGACAAATACATAAAGACAATTAAATGAAGAAAAGATAGGCTTTTCAACAAATGATGCTAAAACACCCCTACGGCAAACCACTAAATTGCCCTATGTCACTGTTAATTGTTCTTAGATATTATACAAAAAGCATGACCCCAAAAAACAAAAGAATCAATAAATTGGGATTAATCAAATTAAAAAACTTTAGATCTGCAAAACACACTGAAAAGACAATAAAAAGACAACCCACAGACTGGGAAAAATATTTGCAAATTACTTATCTGATCAAATAAATTTTCTCAGAATATAGAAACAACTCTCAAAACTCAAAAATAAGGAAACAAACAGCTCAATTTAACAATGAGCAAAAATTTGAATAGCTGCTTCTCCAAAGACCATGTCATTTCTTGCATCTGTGCTTCCATATTCTCCATCAATTTTGGAAAATTCTTGGCCATTACCTCTTCAAGTATTGTCTTTGCCCTATTCTCTCTCCTCCCCTTCTGGGACTCAATTACATATATGTTATATCTTTTCACTGTGTTATATATGTATGTTGCACGCTATGCTTTATTTTCTCTGTGCTTTATCTTAATTATTTTATATTGGCCTACTTTCCTGTATAGTATTTGTCTCTTTTTCAACTGTCTAATTTGCTCTTAAACACATCTATTGATCTCTCAATTGCAATTATTGCATTTTTTATTTCAGAATGCTGGTGAAATTTCTACATATTCCTTTATTTTTTAGAAATACTAGTCACAGCTATTTTAAGGTCCATGGATGATAAATTCACTATGTGGATTTTCTATGTTCTTTTTTAATATTGTCTGTTTCTTCACTGTTCTGTGCTTTGGTGTAGCTGCTAATTTTTGATAGAGGTCAGCCACTTTGTGTCAATAATCCATGAAGCTTTGGATGATGATATCTCTTTTTCAAGCTGCCTAAAAGGGGACAGATTATCTTAATCCAGTTAGGAGATAAATCCACCTTAGCCTAATGCAGTCCCTTTAAGTCTTGAACTACCTCTATTTTTCTGACTTTTTTCGGGCTCTCGCACTTTTTTGTTCTTGTTGGCTTTTTCATATGCATTTCAGAATCAAGTCCTCTGGTTCTTAAAAAATTCATGCTGCTATTTTTATATGCATTATTTTAAATTGAAATAAATGACATTTTTATGATAATGAGCCCTCTGTCCAAGAAAGTCAATGTCTCTTTTATCACTTTTATGAAGATTTAA